TCGTCTGTTGTCTTCCTAACCGAATGGACAGAAGTTTAAATATACCGGTCAATGGATGTCGATGTAATTCTTATCTACTGCACGCAACTTTACAGGAACGTTCTTGTCATTTTTTAACTGAAACTGCGGTACACACACCGCATGATTGGCACACAATTTCTCACCGCCTCCCAAATCCGAGGCAGGGGAGGAGGACTGATAAACAACTCTAGGTTAGTAATCCCAGGCGTGAGTCACCAGGGCAAGCAGATAAAGCCGTCTAGATTAGACTGATGTGTGCAAACACACATTAAAGGTGGGGGAACTGCCTGCAACAATTGTGAGTCATGCAGAGAGAAGATTCCAGGGTGCGTGGAAATTTTATTGTCTCTGGTGTTATATGCTCTTTGCATAAAGTAACGAAGTCGACTTATAAAAAAAACTGTTCCAATATTTATGAAGCCTCAAACTGTCTCTCAAACACGTGTGCCTGAAACCACCAAGTCACTAATCCGCTACAGCAGACGAAATTCTTTATCGACAGGTGTCCTTAACTTGTTTTAGCGCTAAATGGAAACTGCAAAATCCTGTGCTCCCATTGGAACAGAAGTCAGAGCCGCCTTAGCCAAAACTGCTCTTGGTAATTTCGTGTTGGTTTTGAGGAGCAACGTTGAATGCCTCGATGTTAAATGATGCTACAAAACTAAATTACAAGGTAGCCGTCACGTTTTGTCCAAAGCTAGATTCTGGTTAACTAATTACACCTTTGGAGACTAAATTGTCAAGGTTAAGTAGAGGCTTCTTATAATCTGACACGTTTTTTGAGTGAGTCGAGTAAAAAAATTGAATCAGAAGCCGATCCAAAGGCAGCTACTTTGCAAATATGAGGCATTTCAACAAAACTGACACCCTGATTTTAGAGGCAAATAAACTTGTTTCAAGGTCGTGTTCTAAGCCAAGGAACCTAACATGAGGTGTGGGGCATTACAATTTCAGGTGTGATCACCAAACGACACTCAATCGATTTTTGTGAATGCACTTCACGTAACTGTGCTCGTGCAGGGATCGATTCTTAGCGAAAACATATAAACGCACCTCTTATTCTACAAAAATACACACCGCTATTGTATCAATAATTTAGGTGATCTATGCGCCATCTGCACTTTTTCACTCTACTTTCGGTTGGGCCGTGTCAACGTGGATTGTCGGTCCTGGTGTTGTTTCCAATTTGTTGCGGCACTCCTGATGCGGTTTTGCTGATTGTTGAACTGGACGAAGAGAAACGTCCACATGCACGACCTTGTGCGCTCATGTGCATGTCTTGTGAGCCCATAGCTGTTTTCCTAGGCACAAAATCGGGGATTTACTTGTATAGGGCTTCTCTTTAAGTTGCGTTTATAATACCAGGACATGGAGACTTTCGTTTTAACATACGTTCCCAGAAGCAAATTAGTGAGGCAAAAAGTTATCGATGTCATAAAACAGCTGTGGCCCCCGGTACGGTTTTGGGAATCACACCAGGATCGGCGATGTACATTGATAGTGCTCCCTACATTTAAAATCCACGTAAGGGTATAGTGGGTTGGAAGAATATGCTAGGAGTATTTGAGCGGTGAGGTAATCGAAATTTTATTGATAGAGGAGAATTTGGTTTGGTCTGAGTGAAGGTGATCACACTCGCGCTAAAACAATTTGGTATAAGTCGGGAACAGGCCCTGAACTTCACAAAAGCTAAACTGTTCGTGCATTTTGAGAAGCTGTTACTGCGCGAACGAGGTACTGTTTCAGTTCCTGAAGACAAATATGCATCAGGATTTTAATTTGTCCAAAAATACATAAAGAATTTCGCTAAGCAAGCCTATTTACTTGGGCACAATGGGACTAGTTTATCGATTTATTGGCAGCATTCTGGCGGCCTCTATTGTTGGCTAAATGTGGAGCAATTTGATTAGTTGAGTGTAGACATTTTAACCTACGTCGAAATGTACACACAGTTTAGGAATGCAAAGATAAATGTTCATCAATAATCCATTTTTTGAGCAAGGACACATGAAGAATTAAGCCAAACCTGCCTGTTCCCTTAAACAGCGAATATCTTTTTTTTTTTTAAAAAAAAAAGTTTTGCCATATTCAGAAATTTTAAATTCTTCTAAGTAGATATGCAGAAGTTGTCCAGAGTAGCCAATTGTAACTGTTTAAATGTTGCATCGTACAGTCTTGCATTTACAAGAGCCTGAAAAATTATTCCTTACTAGTCACATTGCCAAGTTATCACACTTGCCAATAACATTCGCAGAGGAAAAGTACTCCTAGTTAATTGGTTTGATAGCTGGAATAACACAAAATATTAGATTGGATCTTGATTGACTAATATTTATATCACCAACGAATTACTCTGCGTGACTGTTTTTACCTCCCAGAGGAGTGCAATCCCTGATAAAACCCCAAAGTATTCACCTTTTTTCGTCTAATTGTCTGTGTACAATAAAAACACAAAATTCTGATTGCGTTATTTTGTTTTGTTTTATCGATTTATTAGCGTTCCACATGACACACTGGATCGATATTTTTTGTATACGTATGTGAATAGCAGTTCAGTTTGCAGAGTGAAACTATAATTTCACTCGAGAAACATGGTTACAAAGGAAATGAAGACCTTTAGTTGATGAAATTATTCAACGTGAGTTGGAATTTTTCTTAGATATCTCCAAGGCTAAACTAAATGTCGCATAGGGAAACGTGCAGCCAGATCAATCAGTGACGGGGGAAAACGTGTTTTTTTAAATGAATGTAATGGTGTATTGATTATGTAGACGCGAGTTTGGATGCAAATGCTTTGGGAATTCAATAATTAATTCAAATATTAACAAATCAATATTAACAATAATTAGAAACCTGTGAATACAAATATATTACAAACCAAACACGAGCATTAACAGACATTCACCTATAACCACACTAGAAATACAAATTCGTCCCATTTAATAAGTAAAATACATGGTTTTAAGCGTTCAAAAGGAGTACAAATTTAATTTTTAATTAAACTCGCATTTTCCTGATTTTTTTTATACATTCGTGATTGCACAAACTGTCCTTTTTACTGTGCTCACTTGTTACGCTTAGTGAATTTAATGCTGTGCTTAAAAAAGGACCAAGTGTTGGTGTTTGTCAACACTCGAAAAGAAAGGTTTCTGAAAGGCTCACCATCAGATCATTAAATTATTTTTTTCGGCCCTTAAAGCGTAAAATAGTTTGTGCAAAATGAGTGTATGATGGTAACTTGAAGTGGTGCGAGCATTTTTGTACTGGACTCAACTTTCCTTATAGGTTGTACTTTGGTTTTTTTCAATGAAATTAACAATTAGACTTAAATTTGCAAAATTACATGCTTATAAATGACGTTGACCCAGTCGTTTGATTGGAAATGTCTTGGAATGAAGACAGGGACTGAGGCAATGACAAATTTGATTCGACAGCCGGTGAGTTGTGTTTATAGTTTTAACTAAATAAACATGTGACTCAAATACTCAAATTGCAACAATTTATCTTGGTTACGGGCTATTTTCAAAAGATTTTTTTCACAGTAACCCAAACACCTCTTAAGTTCTAATGAACTTTAACGATTGCTAAAGTAACATTTTCTTTACAAGGACATTTATAAAATTGCTTTGTTTTAAAACTGGTCGAAATTAAAAGCATTAAGGTTTCAGTCATGCGGCGATTCGCCCAGTTGAGGATTTAAAAGCTTTAGGAAGCACACAGAACAAAAGATTTTCAAGCCCAATGCGTAGGTCATTAATTACCGGGCACCTGGCCATACTAAGTGTGTCTCAGTGAGAAAATTAAACAGTTATTTAGAAAAAAAAAGAAATTCAATGCAAATGTTATGTCAGTTTTACACTAAACATATTTTAAATTGGCACTAATTAAAATTTTCGGATAATGATATTATAAATTCACACAAATTTCGCCGTGGAGTTTGTTTCTAACCAATGAGCTTTCAGTAATTGGACAGTGCCTTTTTCATAACTCAATACCCTTCTCATTTGAAATTCTGTCCCAATAGATATTTAAAACAAACGTTCTAACAAATTCTGAAAATTCTACACAGGGTTTATTGCATTTTTTAAAAGCACAGCCTCTTAATTTATTTTTACCAAACCGTTTAGTGATTTGTTCAAGATAAAAATGTCTGGCGTTTTATGTTCACTTTAATTTGTTTAAGTGGGGTATTAAGGAATCTAATTAGGCTTTACGCTTCACCCGCGTCGTCCAAATTGAAATTTGTCGCATTAAGTAGCGCAGAGCACCTTGTGTCATATTCAAAAGGAACGGCTAATGGAATATTCTTTAATTTTTTTTCTAACTTTATTACTACTCAATTGTAACTTGGAGCAAGGTAGATTGTAATACAGGAAATTATTTACAAAGGTTGAAGCAACAAGTCCATTAGATCTTCTCGGAACACGTGTCCTCATTGAATAAAAGTACAAACGCTGAACAGAAAACCAATTTTGGAAGTTGTGAAATAAGTAGCATGAAAAATTCGGAATAAACAATGCGATGTTGGCTTAATCATAAAAAAAAACAAATGATGCCATGTCTTTGTACAATTTCAGAGTGCAATCGTAGAATTCAACTCAGAGGAATGTTCGGTAATCGGTTGTACGTAAATCTAAAAGACACGAAATACACAAGATAAGATCTCTTGGCAAAGGCAATCATCTAATTAGATTGTTAAAAGTAACTCACTCAGTTAGCGATGGCAGTGTGGCTTTCTGTTTGGTTTTAAAAGTGTGGGGTACATAGTATACTGGTTCAATCAATAAATCAATCAATAAACTAGACATCGGGACCAGAAAATTATTATATCTGCAAAGAGGATGTGGTCTAAAGTACAAACCCCAAAGCGTGGACTAGAATCACTACGATAACTCCTATAACTTAAACTGAAAACTGATAGGTACTTCCATGTACCTTGAACGAAGTGTGTATATATCCGCACATTTTAGACTCCTCGTTTATTTTGGCTGGCCTGACTGGGGTCTGGAGGACGGTTGTGAGCCGCTGCGGGCGGCACAGCCAGAGGTGTCCTCGTCGCTGTCTTCGCTCTCCGAAGGCGGCTCCAGGCCGGAGCGCAGGGTGACCTGAACCGATCGGTTCAAGCTGATGGCGGGGTAGTAGACACCGGCAGGGAGGCCGGTGAAGGCGATGGGACCGTGGGGTTCATCGTCCAGGTAGTAGGAGAGGGAGCCGCGGTCGCAGTCCAGTCGAACGCCTATCACGCTCCCCACGTGGATTCCCCCGTCGGTGCGTTCAAAGTGCTCTCCTTTGTGCAGAAACCAGCTTCTTTTCCGGTCGATGTACATCGCCCAGGCCCGAGTGTCATGACCTACACGTTGTGGCATCATCAAATCAGCTGGTAGTACTCTAACCCAAAATTGTTGCCTTGCGCCTGCTATCTCTATGCAAACAAGGTGCTTTTTAAACAAATTTAGACATTTAATCTGCGGTTGACAGCAAAATAACCCAGTCAAAATTCTCACTGGTTATCATTAAGTGTACTTGATGTCCTCTTATTGACATGGAATTGACCTGGTAAGTGGACAAATTCCACTTCAACTGAATCATCGTGAGTTTCTGCGTGGGACAGTGACTTTTAATCATTTATGTTGCACGTGATTAGGTTACACAGTGTCACAATACAGACAGCGCTTTCAATCATTTACAGAAAATGTTGGAATTTTACGCCTCAATTAGAAAAAAACTAAAAAAACCACAGTCCCACAGCACTTGATGAGTCACTTCCAAACGCAAACACCCCAAAAAAGATCCCTTGTGGTGACTAGTGTCTCAACGTCTCACGTTTTTTAGGGGGGTTAAAAACGCACAGCTGAATTTACAAACCCATTTTGCCTCCGTTTGAGCAGTGCTCAAAATTGGCTAGGAGTATCGAGATTGTAATCAAACGACTTGCAGTCATTTGCAGTTGAAGCAAACTGTTTAAAATAGGTCATAATGAAGCAAAACATTGTTGTGGCACTAAATTGTCGTTTTCTGTCTCACTTGGACTAAGAATCATGCGCAGTAATGCGTCACGATGCTGGGTTTGCAGTCAAGTAAGTTTCATTTGGGACAACTCGAAGTTGTGTGTCATTTAGAAATCGCCATAATCGAGACATTGTTTAAAAAGCAACAATAGTGCACAACTAGGTGACCTGAAGATTGGTTGGTAAATAGCCTACCTCCTTTTAAATTACCGGATATTGTCAAAATTAGAACATCAAGTTGAATTAGGTTTGGCCACTTTGATGTACGTAGTCTTGAAGGCGGTGTATTTACGCTGAAACGTAATACGCAATTTTTTTCGTACACAAACAAAGCCTGTTCTTCCATGCACTTGCCACCTTTGAATAACCACCTGCCCATTGAAAAGTTCATCTCAATTTGGCCAAACTTGATAGCACACGGGTTTGGGTCGTGACCTTAGTAAGCACTTTAGGCTTTTGTTTTTTAAAATTGAGCAGAAATTTCGGAAACACAAGAGTACATGCACTTTAAAAGATCTGAATTCAAATTATATGGCCAATGAACGGTAAAATTTCACAAAGACGTAGAGTTTGCTGAGTTTAATTGGCTTAAGTCGAATTGGTAATCATGACACTTTAATTAGACAATTTTTTCACGAATTTGGAGCGGCGGTAAGGAGTTTCGAAGTGATTTCGTTGCGAAATTAAATAATAAATGAAAACAGATATATGCTCAAAGTTGCGTGGGCTGTGGGACTGGACAGGCAATTTGTACAAAAGTTGATATGTTTGCATTTTTTTTGCATTCCAGCCTAAAATTTTGACCAGGCTTTATCAATTGTCTTTCTTACCACACCTAACTAGTTTTATTAACCATTGTCATTACGGCATTATAACGAATTTTGCATTTGTACGAGTTCAAAATGTGTTCAATGGACTTTTTGTCAATTCATATTTAAATTTGAGCAGGTAGAGGAAATATTAAATTCGTCCAGCATAAATGTTTAAGAAATTTTTCACAGGTAAATAATGGGGATTTTTGTCACAGTTACTGCATTAAACGTTAAAACGAAAGCGTTCACGCAAAATCATGTTTAATAAATACCAACGTTGAATTTTTAAAGATCACCAAACGAATTGATTTTCATTAAAAAAATAACTAAAAATCCAAAAAACCGCAGGCTACTTAATAAAACTGTTTGTGCAAAAAGATTGTGGATAAATTACACAAGAAGAGCAAGATAGGGTGAACATGGGACATGTGTAATTACCAAGTGCGTCATTTATTGGGTGTGCGGAGATAATGCAGAACAAATAGTCTTCTGTTATCTCATGCTCAACTAATTCAAAGTTTGTTCAACCACGGGAAACAGTTTTGGCGGTGGCTACCATATCTTTCAGCTGGCTGCTGTAGCATTAACACCAACAGTAAAGGAATTTGCGCATGGCATCAGGGTTGCAAAACAATGAGGCGTCCAGGTAATTAAGGCTTTTTTTTCAAACACACCCGAGGTCACTCTCTACTTGGATTTCGGAGTAGGCTTTCACAGGTTTAAATCTTCAACTGCAACAAACAGATTCATTAGCTCAGAATTAAATACTACTGTTAGATGGCATCACATAAGTACTAAATTGACGAACCTATTGAGAGGCCTAAAATACGGCAAAAACGTCGTGTTTGTCTAGCAAAATGACTTCACAGAAAGCCCTTATTTGACAGCAGATAACTGTCGCAGCAAAATAGCAAAACAAGTTCTCTGAGGATCTGGAGTTAACCAGAGTGACGAATAGTCCTCGAAGGCAAGGCCCTAAGTAATGCACTTAAGGGGACACGTAAAGGGTTGGAAAATTAGTGTTCACTTCACGCCGTTTTAAGGAAATTGTTAACGATGAAGCTTGGAGCTCAGAATCTGTCGTAAATACGCCTGTCATTAACTAAAACAGCCGCTGAGTTAAATTTGCATGAATCGATTGTGACGGGAGACGGTCATCACCTAGGGTTGCAAATGTGGGCACACCTTCCACGAGGAATCAAGCATGAAGCCACTACAATCAGAAATTTAAAAAGCCGCGCAAAATTGTGGTTACATTTAGTCCCAAAGGACACATTAGGTTCAAGTACCGTGTCAGTGCGGTCCCTAGGTCTAAAAATGAATGTAGCATAATGATTTTACTGCCGATATCTAATTTAGTGTCTAATTTATCCTTTTTTTAAAGTTTATTGTATGTTTTGTTTAAATGAATTCGTTAAGAGCAAGGTCAAACCAAATACGCTTCGAGTGTGAATTGCACTGGCTGCAGTCAAGTTACTTCGCATCGCAGCATCTTTAATCAAATGTATTCTGCCAGTTGAACTACTTTTTGCCGCAGCAAGTTATTTAAATTGCAGATTATTCCATGACAAAAATCAGCACGGAAGTGGACTCGGTGCTAATTTAAATTCCGAATGCTGACTAACATTTTTGCAGGAATGAGTCACTGAGAATAGACGAACTGAAAACTAGCAATAAGCATGCCTTTTGTTGAATATGCAGATTGTTCTCATCACTAATGATTTTGATATTCACTTAACAAACAAGAAAATTTCTGAAAAAACAAGTAAAATTTTATACTTATATTCGAAATCACCTCCCAAGTTGATGCAGGAGGTCAATATTTTGAGACCTTTAAGCTTATTGTTGCTGAATACTACTAACGTACAGTTGACATAAATGCATCAAAAACGTCAAAATCATTTAAAAATGTTACTCATTCACTTACGTCTTAAATGTTAGAGCATTTGCTACCTTAGTTGTGGTTTGTTTACGAGTTATGAACCAAATAAATGGATTACAAAGGCAACCAATGACCACTTGTAAACATTCTAGTACAGAACTAGCGTATTAGTTAAATTTCAATCATTAAATCTTTACTAAATGGCTACATCAATTTCAAGCGCGTTGCTAATTAAATTGCAAGTCAACAGGGAATCTGCAGACATAGGACAACCGTGTCCTAGCTAGAGCCGATTCATAGAATGCAGCCATTGATAAAGACATTAATAAAAATAGTTTTGGTTCTGGGGAAAGCCGTGAGATTGAGACGTGTAGCTTTTTTGTGTCTCAACTTTTACCTTCCAAAATTCAATCACTACTTATCTGGTTACTAGAATTAAATTGATTGTCATAGGCAATCACTAATTTAATTGAACGTAAAATGAAAGTTTTGATTATATTCCTAGCGTTGTCATTCAGAAAATTGTTCTCCTTTTTACTGATACATCATTGGCAATGACTTCAACACGTAAAAGAGCCGTAACAAGGATTGTTCGCGGTTGTTCCCATCAAATTTAAGTAAACGCAAATTGCTAGTTGATTCTTGAGTTTGAATATTTGATGTCGCTTTGCACCTCACGTCTTGACGTTTGTCCAGTGTCAACTGTTTTAGGGTTTGTTGACTCCGTGTCGCACAAAATGACGCCTCACTAAACAGTTGGGCTTCGTCCTTTTTGTTTTTATTTTCATATTTATCTCTTGACCTCTAGAAATAGGCAACCTCGATAGCCACCACGTCATATTCACATCTCAATTTAAAACGTTGTCAAATCGAGGTTCTTGGCCTCTGATAAAAAAAACCGCAGCGTGTGGCATAATTAAGTGTTTTCACCGACATTAATCATGGACAATGTTGTGTATTAATGTTTTTTTATTCACGTTTGTTGCTAAGACCATGCCAAAAGCACATGCTTATGGATTATTCTAGCGCGTAATGCTACTTGTAATTCTGTGCTGCAAAAATTTGTAAGGATTTCAATCTGGTACGGAAAAAAAGTAACATTTGAGACAATGGGAATTAGCTAAACCTGATTTGATTCGCTGAGGGCTTTAAATCCAACCAAACACAACCACAGATAAATAAGCCGAAGGAGACGATTTTTTAAGTGTCTAACTGGTTGCTTCTGAATCTTAAATGTTGAAAGTGGGTATTGTTAGCCAATCAGTTGCGTCAGTTGGTGACAAAACTTGTTTGTCCTTTATTTCATGTACTTGACAAAATTAGACGCACACGCTTCTTATTTTAGACCACTTTGTCTACAAGGGAGTTACGGCAACAATAAAGTAGCCTTATGTGATGTTTTGTCGAGAGTAACTAAGCAACAATTGTGAAAGCAAAGTTGCCGTACACCTCTCCCGGGAGGAAACATCTTTAGACTGAAACGATACACTAACAACGGTGACTCAACGGCAGTTCCTACTACAATACAATTGTCCGGTGGCAGAAGTGACCTGTTTCTGCCGTAATAGCATTAGCATCAACAAAATTCAACACGTAAAGGTGGAATTGTGATCTGTGTGACGAGAAGCAGGTGTTTTTGCAAATACCACCTAACCGGAACACGCCAGACAGCCCCATTCAGTGATTTAGTGGAACTGCCATTTCCGTGGCAAAATGATTACGATTTCCGGGTTCGCCCAGGATCACTTGAATGCTCATGAAAAGAGCGTTTAAGTGTGGAATTTAGAAAAAAATGTGTGTATAACAGTTTGATATTTTTATCGTCAACGACTGAGCGTGGGTATTTGACATTTTCACTGGGTGCAATTTCTAACCGTACATTTATAATGAAGCAGATTTTTTGAACTCCCTGCCGTACTCAACAGACGCTCCACATTAAATATTTTTAGACAACGATAAAACACCCGCGACAGTCTAAGTGAAACAAACGTCTACATAATTAATCATGTCTTCACACTGCCTTCCGTGTTTTTAAAGGAGACGTAAAAATTCGTTGCAATTTGCAGAGATCTTAATTATAGGGAGAAACACGACGGTGATATCTGATAGGGGGAAATGTGGCCTCAGTTGCTAAAGCTGGTAAATTGTTTTTTAGCCAATAGATGACGCATAACCAAGAAACTACGCTACACGCATCTTATTGATTTGTAAGATTGCAGTCTTCTGTCCTAAAGCGCATTATCCAATTACATTCATTAACAGTTTAACAGCACAGTATGATATGAGTTGCGGCACATTTTAGAAGTTATTGACAAGATTAAACGTTTGCTTCTTAATTTACACGGTGCTTCCTCACAGAAAATGTAAATTTTTGAGCACGTGAATGTGTAAAACAATTGACTGAGTTTAACTTTTTCAGAGTCCTACGTTAAGCAAAAACGACATTTGTATGTTGTTTTTTGGTGCTTTTTTTCACGATCGTGATCATCTGGGTTTTCGATTTTGCAGACTCTATGAGGTGTCAGGCCTCACTTCAAGTTGTCGGTGGTTACGGAACGTAACTTTAATTTTTTACACACCCTACAAATCACCAAGCTCTCTAAATTTTATCAAAAAAGATGAGCTTGATGGCGATTTTTAAATAAAAGCAAATTTCTGCGATTACAAATGCACCGGCCTTTTAATTAATCTGCAATCGGAAGGAACTTTGTTTATGAAAATATAAATGGTTCAGAACAGAATTCATTTCCAATGAACTTTTTTTTTTCATTTTAACATTTCGGATTAAAAAAATCTCGAAGTAATTAACTTTAAAGGCTATTTTTTCCATGTCTGATGAAAGCTATATGAATTATTTTGCAGAGCGAATTTCTGCAAAAGTTGGAATAAGATTTGCCTCATAGCAGTGATCTAAATTAAATCAATTCTGTCATAATTTCTCTTGAGACACTAATTTGTCAAGGCAAAAAAAGGGTTTGGCAATGTTGAAGTCTACAGTGAGACAAATTAGTGACAAAAAAGAATTCTAAATACATAGAGCCTGTTGCCTCCATGAAAAAAAATGCATTAAATCAAGCTGCACATTTGCTTTAAATACGTCAAAAAACACAGCGTCATTTTAGATTATTTCCTTTTAATTGGCCGCGCGTCTCCTTATTTCAGATTCCTTATTTTCAGATGCCTTCTCTAAGACTCTGAAATAAACTTTTAAGGTACTTAAATTTGGTTTCCATGGCTACATTTCTGTCATTCGTTTAACATTTAAACTCAAGGTCGAATGTAGGTAGACTTAGGAGGCCTGCATACCAAGAATAAACTCTTCCAATGAACTAGATGAAGCAGTTGTGGACATACTTAAATCTTATGATAAGCTACTTGGTTCAAAGAGATGCAATTTGTTTTCTGATTGACTGAAATGGTCCAGTCAGAACGTACCGAGCATAGCCTCCTTGTTGCAATCTGACTTGGCAACGCCAAACGCAGGTTGGCCCCCCTGGTCAAGTCGATCGATCACAAACTCCCAGTAGTGAACTCCACGCGAGAGACCCGTTGAAGCGAGGACAACACAGTCCTCCATGGACTGGCACGTGACAGAGCGATTTGAATTCGAAAACTGCAAGCCTCCAACTGAAGAATGCGAACTGTCCATGTGAAACCAGGAATCTGCAAGGCGAACGTTTGTGTACACTTTTTAACAATTTCAGGTGTTAGCTGGTGGACGGATTAAACAGCTGACACGATTACGCAAATAAAGTGCAACCCCACGGATATTGCGGTCATGGCCGGTAATTTCTTCGTTTCTGGAATAAATGGGTAATTAGCAGTATTCTAAGAATACAAAAGGACTAAATGCATTAGATTCATTATAATATTTGCAAAATAACAAAATCCAGCAACCCGGTTAGCAATTAAGATCATTGTATCTTCGCAAAAAGGGCAAATTTTGTGTTTTTCTACACTATCCTAATGTATTTGGAAACAAACAACAACGAATTAAGGCCACAGCGATCATTCCTCCAGTCCCGACCACTTCAAAACCTCCCTGCTGTAACCATTGCTGCGACTCGTGTTTATTCACACTCCCTAATTCGGTCGCTTCACCTCCGACACAGGGTTCCCCTTTTCGCAGCATGTCGCCAACCGCACGGATCCTCAATTACCCCCTCATTCACACGAACATTTATCCTGGATTACCCTCACACCTAGGCCTCGATGTTAGCGCAGTTATGATTAACACATCCGAGGTATAAATACACACGGGCAAACCCCACAAACGACACAACGACACCAACGTGGTTGAGCCCTGAAGTAAACGGCTGTTTTCACGTCCTTTCTGATTTTTTTCTTCATCGCGGGTATGAGGGAAGCGTAATCGGGCCAGAGCAAATTCAGTGGCCCCGGCGTGGTTCACTACCACATGCTGGAGCCCACAACAATTAGTGACTCCAACGTGATGATTGGTTCTCCAAATCCCCCAAAAATTTGTAGTCCCGACGTTGGACGAATATCGACCGTCTGTATAAACCCACACGACGACGACTTCGTCAAGTCCTCGAATAAACGATTGACTCTCTGTCCTTCCACAGACTTCATCCTTGTTGGGTTTTTGGTGGTAGATGGCATCATAACACTATCTCTGCTTGCTTTCTCCAAATGCCTTGTTACAAACTGCTACAAATGAGGTAGATTGAAATCATCACTTGACGGTTAGCACGCAGAGAGGCACGTTCTGCAGATGTGCGACGTATTTTATTCGACACATTACTGGCAAATTAACCAACATCTTCTCCTGAATTCAAAATTCGCGCGGTCCAAAGGATACTCGACATGTGTGTGTTAAAAATACGGATGTTATCCATCGAGTTAAGTGCAAAAACTCCCAAAATCACCATATTTGAGTTTTGGTTCGTAGAACGCTGCAGATTCAATTTGCGCCGACATTAAGCAAATCCATGCGGTGACGAGAAATTTGGGCGTAAACATAGTACTCTACCCCTAATCTACCTACTAGTGAACTAAATTCAAAATCATAGATTTTAGCAACAAACAATTCAAGTTTTTTTATTGTGCATATACACATATTGTGACTGAGTAGATCCACTTGGCTAAAATGTCTAGGTGTTAAAGTACTTTTTTGCCTAGGGATCTACAGGTTCTTTTGTTCACAGGTTTGGTAATGAATTTCTGCAAACGTGCTAAAAATACGCACATTTTGTCTGAACGATAGAATTACTGATATCCCAAATATCCACAAAACAGCATTCATTACATCACAATACAGTTGCAGTAAGTCATATTTATGAAGTCATTCACGGTTACAGAGCTGTTAAGGAACTTAAATATTAGCACTTTGATTGAAACATTTGGGCACTAATAGAACACATCCTTCGAAGTTAGAGCAATTAATGCGGAACAAGCTAAACTACTGTGTAGACGTGGGGTGAGAAGGGACGTACACATTGATGTTTGCATCACCAGTCGATCGCTGTAAGCACTGTACCCAGATTGGTTGTGGGCCTTCACGCGGGCTCTGTACACCGACCGGAAGTGGAGGCCTTCGATTGTGCACATTGTTTCAATCCCACGGTAGACTTTCTGAAAACAAAAAGCCCCAGAGCTGTACCTCATATTCTCAGGAGAGGAGTTTGCAAAGGTAATTCTCACGCAGAGCAAATTGCGGTTGCCTAGTAACCATTGATTAGCTGTAATGCTAGCCTGACAGGTTGGTTAAATATATTCGACATTGCGTTTAGGTGTAGAGTTCGGCCGTAATTATTCGCAAAATCTTACTGCATTGTTCCTACTTAGTAAAAGACACTAGTAAGTCACATAAGTCTGTCAGACGGAGATAGACGTGGTAAACAAGTCAATTAGTAATTACCCTAAATCATTGAAGACCAGGATAATCAACTGCCACAAAATTAGTTTGGTTAACAACGCATCATAGTAAATACCTCAGACAAATCCGAAGTTGCCGAAGTCGCTATCTTACTAGTTTTGGAAATTGGGAAATTGTGGCCAGGATTAGAGGCGACTCCTAAGTTAGCCTGGCAGCACGTTTGTGTGCAAAACAAACCATTAAAAACCTTCCAGAGCGTTGATGCATTAAATAACTTTATGCAGAAAATATCATGTTGTTCACTATCCTGGGATAACGAATCATAGATGGAATTTGCCGTTTGACAATGCCCTATAATTACTGGACCATGACATACCTGAGTAGGTGTATTTGGCAGTTGAAAAAAAAAGTAAAAATGTCCAGTCCAGAGCTACTTCACTTGACTTGAAATTTAAGAAAGAAGTCAGGACTAGTTTGTGCAACCTTCCCATTGGCCGTACCTGTGGTCACTTGTGGGATTCGCTCCCACTGAAGTGAAATGGAGCAAAATTTTGAACCCTGGGATTTGAAACAATTAGTTGTTTCCTGCTGACAAATGCACCATCAAAACTAAATGAAAAATTTGCTTGACAAATCAAATGTCATGGCAGTTTTTTTCAACTTCGAATAGACTAGGAGGAAAGGCTGACGTCACAAGGATTATGTGAACGGAGTTTTCTTCGGTAAAGAAATAGACCAATTTTACGCGAACATCTGTCGCTACAATTAACTGACCTGTAAATGAAACTGGTTGATGGAAAGTTTTTGGAGATACCTTGTACTAGAAGTAGGGGCTGTAAACATACATTGCCGTCAAGTGTATTTCCTGTTTCCAAAACTTAAGAAACACGTAATGTGTAATCTAGATTGTGTAACGAACACACATCAATTGGTTAACACAGAGTCTGGTAAATGGAATGTGTACTTTTAGCAGCCATATTCGTGTACTTAAAAATATCTGGTCCGTTACTCGACATCTTTCTGATTTGGAAAACCATCGATTCCACTGGCCAAAGGTGTCTGCTTTCTACGCGGAAAAATGCCCAATTTGGAATGTGAAGGAAAATTATTTGGTCCAACTAATCTTACATGTCAAAATGCTATTGTAATACGGCTCTATTCACTTTTTGCTATAACATTTAGTCGACCTTTACTAACACAGATGTTAGGCGTTCTTCCGAGATGCTAACTCCAGCATCGAGAACCGTTCGGTACTATTTAAGGTACTCTTGACTGCAGATGATAGTGAGAGACATACCCGGAAGGCGCCGCCTGCTCCGTCGTCGATTTCAAGAGTGTAGTAATCGATCCCAAAACCTGGACAGGGCTGCCACACCAGTGTGATTATATTCCCTTCCGAGAGACACTCCTCTGCACGGAAAACCGGCGCACTTGGAACTACAATAGACGGTTTGAAGACATCAAATCTACCCAAGGCACTCTGATACTTACTAAACATGTCTACCTTAGTAAAATATTTTGCTGCATCTGAAGACAATCGTAATAGCTTTCAATGGATGCTACTTAAATGGCTTTCTATCGAACAACGGTTATCTTTTTTTGGTGTCTTAGTAAAATGTAATCATTGCTCTTTTGAGTTCATGCAAAATACCGAATAATCAAGTTGCTGCCAATGCATTTTCTTCATAATCAAACGGTTTTTTATGTGTCCCTTCATTTCTTTTTAATTTAGTTAATATTTTGTTCACAATAAATATGACCATAACCGTGGCTAATTTCCTTTTAAACTATGTGTTTTTGGCCGGGAGAATTCGCACATTGCTTTAGTAGCAACCATCAAACTGTTGGCGATCCAGCATTCCCCATGACGGCTCATTACCGGTTAGGATTTGATCATTGTTTACACAATTACCCTAACCATACCACACCAGTGGATGAGTCACAAACGGCCCCCCCTACTGACAGCCCCATCTGTGTTAAACCACCTTGCTCCATCAGGTCAGGAAATGTGCTAGGCTTACGTCAGATAAGAGATCTGTGGTACCGGTTATCTTACTGTGTGTCTCATGGTTACTGGCAAAACGTAACACAAACCCACCGGCCAGTCTACCTTTCTAGATACAAGTACATTTAAACATTCAGCTCAAATTACCTTCTTTATCGAAATAAGCGACAAATCTCTCATTCTACGAACTGAGTTATTCCAACGATAAACATTTATGACAGCAGCAATCTGTGCTTAGGTAGTCAAAATGGGAAAGTTAGAGGGGCTAAATTAGTTATCGTGAACCATCTGGTACCACAAATGGTTCAAAGGGCGCACTGCCGAAAATCCACCAATGGAGAATGATTAATAGTCGCCATGAAAACACCATATTGCAGATTTCCACTGTAACGAAGCAACAGCAAAGACCCTATCTGTGAATGATTTATTTCTGACTATTTGGTTAGCCGGAAAGCGCTAACTTTAGCCATATTTGTGTTTGTACCAAAAAATCGAGCATTTTTTTAACTGTCTTACCATCACAATCGGAGGATGCGCTTGATGACGAACAGTCGATAAGTTGGTCTTCTGAAATAGAAGGCAATAAAGATGCCATAATCTCAACACGCAAACCTGTTTTGCACATAATTAATGCATCAGAAATAACTTGAAACGGACCGCTTTAATTTGAGCACGAAAGTGGAAACAAAGGCTCCAACATAAATTTAAAAAAAAATGTTCAAAAGTGACTCGGAGTGTCTGTATGAGGTAAGACACTGAAGATGATTAATGTCCGACCAATAGAATGTAGGCGATTCCTACTTGATTTATTGATTGGTTTAACAGATGCGCCAAAATCAAATATAATATTTTCGATAAATTTTTGTTTTGCGTGGTGAATCTGTCAAATCAATTACCTTGTCATTTGCAGAGGTGTCAAATTCTAATATTTGTCCTCAACGGTGATTTGACGGGTTAAATGAACTGCATGGTACTTTATAGACGCTGAGTAACCTGCCAATCACACAATTTTGATTCCCTCAAAATCGATTTAGAGTTCTCCATTAATCATTGCCAATTAGCACACGTGCGGTCGTGTAAATATGTAAAATTCGACCATGGTTCAGAAGAACTGAAGTTTAAATGGAGTATTTGAAAGCAAACTTCCCTAGAAAAGCCTGAATTTATGCTTACCTCAAATGATTTTATCGGAGTTGAAGATCAGCCTACTGGTTGCCACATGCTCGACAACAATTTAAAATATCGGGTTAGAGCATTATTGCTTAGACTTGGAGAGCTGATTTCTAAATTTGTCGTTCGCAGTGTAACAAAAGTCGCTAGCTCTGTAATGACGTGGTCTGCTAAAATTCATTTTACCAGCGTGTTTGGAACTGAGTGACCGATCAAGTGGACATGTTTTATAGAAATTCGGCTGTTAACATGAGGTAAAATGTTTTTCCTACTCATTTTTTTTGTAAGGCATACAAGGAAAGACTGAACATGCCGCAATTTAGTGACGAACACATATGGTTTAGGCAGCGCAGCAGACCCAGTTGCACGAATTGGAATACTGGTGAGCCGTGTTCTAAATGGTCGATTAATACAATAATGATTTTTCCTAAAACCTTGTTTTAGATCGTATTAATTCCTACCTGCCTCATTCCCCTCCCCTCTGACCTCATTTCAACGCCGTCCCTATCGCTCCTGTTAAACCGTCCGCTCATTCATCCCAGCCCGTTTCATTCATCTGACCATTCAGACATGTCTGTACTTTAACAGCGCGTTTTAATGTGCAGTCGTACGATTAAGGCAACTTCGTTGAGCTATGCAGTAAATAGTTTCCTCTCCCCCTCTTCCGTATTCATCATCGCTAAATCAAACTTAGTGACCTGGCGTTGTTTGGGGCTACAAGCCGGGGACCACAGCAACCTCAACTGTTTTCAAAAGTGTAAGATGGTTTTCGGGCAAGTGTTTCTGAACCTCAAAAGCTGCCAAGCACTGAAGCTTTTGGGACATAAAACCATCACTAGATTACCTGGCGATTCTCTGAAAATACCAGCGATACTACTTGCTGTGACAAAGTACCGGATTTGAAGTCAAGCATAACTGGCGTCTGTGTAGGCCTTGGAGTTACTAAAGTGTTGACATGCAAGTTACAAATCGGACACGTAATTGGACCTGGAAGTCACTTAAGAAGGCATCAAGCAAGACTCAGTGTAACGAGGTTGCTTTGCAAAGCACGCTGCCATTTGAATTGCCAAAGAAGAGAGAAGACATTTATTATGGTCTCGAAGGAGCATTGTGAGTAGCTGGGAGGTGCGACAATCGCATAACCACCTCCAGGCGAGCGATGTTTGCTGATTGAAAAGATAATATTCTTCGTTTTCAATGTCGCACACTCTGCGGCGCCTCCCAGTCGGTGTTTGGAGGCGGAATTTGGGAGTGGCGGCTGCCGAATTGTCCGACTCAGGGAATCGCGCGTGAGCCGCCAGGAGAAATCTTTGCAAAGCCTTTTAATCACAACAACACCAGCGTCCAATTAGGCTGCATGAGTGCCTTTTGTGTGCTCTGGGAAATCTCCGGACGGTACTTCTTGAATAATGGATGCGCGCACTTCGTGGTAAGGGACGAGGCATTACAATGCTTTTGCTTACATCGGTACTCACTTACCCGTCCACTTGGGAAGATAACCACTCTTGGCTGAATAGCTGCATTTGGAAACGTGGGAGTAACCTGGCATGACTAACGATAGTTTTAGGGCAAATTCACTTGAAAGGAGAGCGTCTTTATCTAATCACTGACAGATCTTAATTAGATCTTAGATCTGGAAAGTGGATGTGTGGCAAGGGTTTATTAAACACAACTTGGGCTGTCAGTAAGCGTGTTTTCAAACTGACAACATGTTATAAACAAGCGATTTCCAACTGGCGAAAAATACTTTATTGCAAGTAGCAGAAACCAAGTAGGAAAGGAGTGTTTGCAGCAGTATAATCAGGTGGATTGCTAATTAAGGAAAGACGTTAAGATCATCGGTGGGTGTTGCTTACCGAGTCCCTCGTGAAGTGTGAGGTCACTGACGACCTTGTGAATGGCATCAAGTTGCATCAGAGAGACGAAACTGGAGTAAGCGAGTGGCGCAGATCGTCCCTTCGACCAGTGGGAGGGTGTGGGTGGGTGCGACTGACTGGAGGTCGTCGGTTGCTGTGTCAGGGGGCAGTACTGGGTGACAGCTGGGGGCGCTTCAATTGCATGCAGAAAAGACTGCTCCGTGTGCAGGGCGCGGTTAATGAGCGACTGGGAGACCTGTGGCAAGGCATTAGAGGAACTCGTAAGTCGACTTCTCTAAGAATATGAATGCCCCACAGTGGGGCCCGCAATAACGTCATTGGCTGGCCATATTTCTCTCAGATATTTACTGCAAATTGGCAGATTGAGTCTGGTTAAGGCAAATCCATGGAAGCAGCTGCGCAGCCACGATGTTTTGTACTTAACAGCTGTGCATATTATTATAAAGTTCCTAATGGCTAACCTAACAGCACAAGTGACCTGTAAGAATGTTTTTCGAAGAATCTAACACTAGTTTAGGAGAAATCAAGTTTATAAGATGACAATTTGATTGAAAATATTTAAGGAAAAAGACAAGGCAATTTCGGTCTCGAATTTAATAACCACAAATTGGGCGGCTTAGCGCATAATCCCCTTTGCCTTCCGCAAGTGTTTATCGGTCCTTTAGGAGGTCTAATATCGCAGAAAAATATGCCTCCTAAACCACAGATGTCTTATTTTTTGCTTAATTTCGTTTAGTGATTGAAATAAACATTCTTTTCTTGACTTCTTTGGTAAAAGTAATTTAGACCATAATAAATTAAATCCCGCATGTTTAAAACACCAAGTTTGCTAGCCAGTGGGATCTGGATTTGACTACATGGGGCCTTAAACGATAAAATTCACATATTGTTGCTACTATATTTTATAAGCTTTTGTTTAATTGGCCAGTAGTTAAGAGCTTTGACGTCTAAACTGTTGACGTATCTCATTTCAAGGGCAAAAACGTTGTTTAAATGAATGAGACTGATTTAAATTATATTGATTGAAGGCTTTATGAACTATGACAGCGTCCCTCTGGCGCTTGATATTGTCGCTGTCTGTGCTATAGAAGGGTGCTGTTTGCGCTAGTCTTGAGGTTTAATCTTTTTGTGGGTTATGTTTGAACAACCAGCAAGCTCAGGTCGTTCTTATTAACTGGCGAATCAAGTCAATTATGGAAATCAAATTTCGTCTGAAATCACACGCGTAAGACCTTTGTTAGAAAGTGTTCCGTGGTTGCCTCGAAGGCCATATTTAATAGTTGAGCTAACTTGATGTGTGGATAGTTCACCTCAGCCATATATTGACCAGGAATACAGCACACTGTTAAATTAATCATAATTACATGCCTAGAAGATGTCATCAACCTAGTACGTAGTCCCTGCCGATTTCAAAATGACAATCATGGCTAACAGAGTAGTCATTGACTGCTCTGTTTTGTCTAGCTAATTCCTACGGCTGAATTTTACTAACTAGAAATAAAAAGGAGGGATTCGCATGAAAATTCGGCTAATCCACCTACCAGAAGAAAAGAAGGAGCATCGTTCTCCTTCAGCATCTCTATGCAGAACTGGATTAGGCCCGTTGATCTCGTAAGCTTAGAGGTGCATTGAAAAATCTGCTCCTTGAGAGCGCTCTGTTTCCTGTCCCTTTCCTCCTTAATTGCCGCGATCAGTTCAGCCTTCTTCGCCTCTATGGTTTGGATTAGGCAGTCAAACTTGGCCGTGGCATCGTCTTCGGCGCGTTTCGCGGATTTCTGCTCAAAAAAAGCATCTCTTTTTCATTAGGAGATATTAACTGACAGACTAAAACCTAACGATCAAAACGGCAGTCAATTTGCAACGCTGCTGTATCTCAGTGGTTCAAATGTTTGCCGTTTTTTTATTTTTCTGAACTGAAAAAGTACTTATGGAAAAATTTCCTTACGTGGAAATTGATGACGTAATAAATTTAGGGTTTCCGCTGGTTACAAAAGGCATTCACCTCAGATTCCCTGAGTTGAGCCTTTTTTGAAATTTCATGTTCTGTTGCGCTACCTCCCAAATTGTGTTCTGAGCTTTCGAAAGTGTCTAGCAGTTGCTGTCACCTCATTACTAATACCGCTGACCTACCGGACAGAAATGCTCATTTTATGTCTAAAATAGCACAAACAATGGCCGAAATTCGATTCAAATTAGCGTTCGAACTAAAGACTTACTTCGCATGAAAACTTTTGGTTAAGTACTTAGAAAACATTTCTACATCCTCTACAGATTTTTTTTGAATATTTCAAAGAATGCCAATAAGTTTTGATTTAGAATATAATCAAATTTGCACTTTTGCAAAAATACTCTTCGTAACATCTAAAATGTAAATAGTGAGGGTAGGTTCCAAAACGCTTTGGTAAATAACAACTTAGTGATTAAAAAAATGATGGGCACAATTAATGTAAATCCCCTATCATGTTACTATGGCAATAGAGATATTATCATTTTTTAAATGCGTGTGCTAAAAGGGATTGTAAGATTATAAAGCAAATGTGCCCACTGTCTTTGGTTGTTGATTAGGTTTTATGTTACCCAATTGCATTAATTTCAGTAATAAATTTACAATTAAATTAAACCCGACGCTAAACTAAAATTATCGATAGTTATCTTTTCATTAACAAGACGATATCCTACGGCTGAAAATTACCTTGTCATGACTCAGTTTACCATATTTTTAAACCTATGCAGAAAGTGGGATTTTCTTCCATCAAGTAAGTTTATTTTAAAGTGTTTAATTTGGTATCCTTCACGTCACCTCCACACTATCAGAGTCCATTTAGATTTCATCTCAAATCATCTAATGACAGCGATAATTTTGGTGATAAAATTAGACTAAAATCACATCAGCTATTTGACAACTGCCGAAAAGGAGCTTTGCCCTGTCACAAAACGTTTTGCCTTGGGAAGCATCGAATTTAAAGAATGTCAATACAGCAAACAAAAATGACTCGCTTGTCTATTTACAAGACCAGTTGCCACGGTGCTTAACTTTAAGCCTAAAATTGGCTTTTATTTTGTTATTCTGCAATTATATGCCTTTTTTCTACAACAAAAGCATATTATTTTTAGTTTTGGTGGTTTTGAAACGTATATTTACATGTAACATGCTATTTTGCTGAACGATAAAATCAGTTTTATTATCTACGGTTCTGTATAGTTACATAACTCATAAAAACGGTTAAATTTTAATGATTACCTCAAAAATATATTTCCATTGGACCCTATACAACTGTTTTTTACTCTCTTACATCAATTGAGCAAATTACGCTGTTTTAAACCACTAATGTATTGTCATTAGCAGTAGCATAATGATAGCAGTGCGTTGATGAATCCCTTCTAACGCTGTATTTACGAAATCGCGTGACATTTGCCGTAAAATCAGTTTAAATTGGGCCAAACCGCGGATAACTTTGTGGGTTCGAAAAAATGGTTCAAAATTTACCGTCTTTAACAAAAATCCCGAATTTAAGGTGTTGTTGAATCCAAATTATCAGGGCTAAATACTGTTTTTAAAAAGAGAAATTATCCAGTAAGATTTTTGGGTGATCAAAGATTAAATGATTTGATAAACTCGGAAACATTATTTCTTATTTTAACAAATGCATACCAAAATATAATTTTTTTTACAAAAACACGGATAACTAGCCAATCAAAGGGTGATAATTTTGAAGCTTGAGAAGATAAAAAGATACACAGCTTTTTAACGTTAATTTTCAATTTTGCGTTCCCTTTTTTGTAGGTTGGCGTTGGATTGTTAATTTATTAGAATTCACAGGTTTCTGTAAATGGATACATTAGACAACGTCCAACCTTGGCAGGCAAAATTAACAATGGTTTAATGAATCGGCTACATTAAAACTTGTGCTTTTGAGTATGACCTAAAATGTGTCCAGAGAAACTCCAAAATGTCGGTTGGACTGTAAATAAGAGTCTGACCTTGCACAAATCTGGAGATTTTCAACTTTGTAATAAAAATTTTGAACCCACATGATTGGTTACGTGTAATTTTTCCTTCTTGAGCACTTCAAGCTACTTAATTATGATTAAAGCTAGGCAGTACGAAGCCCAAGCTAGCTTAAATTGTTAGCTTGCGTCAAAAGGCAGGACATCTTCAAAATTAAAGACAACTTAAAGTATAGAAATGCAGGAATAAGAAATAGAATAGAGGTGAGAGAATTGCCCACACTGTATTGGAAATCAAAAAGGTTAGAAGTAAGGCAGCAGCCGTCTGACTAATTCCTAAACGTTATACCACGGCGTTGTGAATGTAAAAGCGACCGCGCAAGGCACACGTTATGGCCTGGTTTTCACGTGAACCAGTGGCGCCTCGACTCGAACACCCGTGCAAATCCTGACACTAACTGCATCAGACAGATTTTTCAACGAAATCATTCCTAAACGCCTTGGTATGTCTTGGCAACTACTTCAATGAAAAATTTCCTTGAATTGCATCTGATTTGAAATTGTGATCAGGCATAGCTTTCAAATATAAATCTGGCAGATTTCGCAAGACCTCCAGCTTTTCTCTTTTATCAAAGCATCAATTTGAGGAAATAAAATCAAAACTATGTTTTTTATTAACCAACCCAGACCAGAAGCATTTGTTTCCAGGCCGTTGGAAGGAGAATACACACATAAATTAGTTGCTTGACACTAGCTAAGCACATTTGTTTGTCAAGCGCATTAGAAATTCTAATTACACACTAATCGCATGATTATATAAATCACTTTGTGATGCCCAAGTTATGGCCACTCAAGGTCTCGGCCACGACTCGAGGGCACACAAAGTGTCGCTGACTTTCTGACTGACATTGATCAATTTACCCAGATGATGTTGTTTTAATAAATCTGACAGCCTGCCATTATCTGCATCAACTGTCATGTCCATTATTGGAAGCAAAATATCGGCTGTAAACCAACGCAGCACTTGATTGTAACAAAAACAGCATTAATGCGTTTAATGCTATAGATGGGCATTAGATATGCTGAGTTATGCTGTTGTTAGTAAGTGTTCCCTTGATAGAGTACAGTCGTCCGCACGACAAATAAACGCTCCACGTGACAACGTACTTGGTCACACTTCGATGCATGTGACCGGCAAGAACCTGCTACAAGTGACTCTTGTTGGGTATCGTGTTTCTCTAGCTTAAACAACAATTTGAGCACTTGTTTTAAAGTTGATTTATCGGCTCTATTTGATTCATAATCATTGATTTTTGTGTTTTGACTACTGTGTGTTTAAATGTGAATTTACGAGTTCATTCGATGCCATAATCGAAAGCCATATTACTGAAAGTTTTTTTGTACGTTTTCTAAATTTTTCAAACAAATATAACAACAGTTTGGTGGCTGTTAGTTACAGAGTATACTAAATTATTTATTCTTCTCGAAGAAACCGTTTCATTGGTATATTCTGTTTTAAGTAAATCGTGCTTTTGAAGTTGTCCATGTAAGCACTTTTATGTTAGGAAAACACATTCGGAAAATCAGTTATTATTAAAATGGATTAAAATTAAGAAAGAAATCGATTCAAAACGCTTGAGAGCCCCCTAAGAAATTGGTTATATGCAGGGATGACTAACACGCTAGTTAAGTGATCCTTAATTTCAAAGTCTTAGAAAAAAACTGCAGATGTTGGGGTAATTAGAAAATTATAAGTTAGCAAGTTAAAAATGGATTTTTGTAAAAAATTCATCAAAACATTTGTTGTTAAACTACACCGAGCCATTATTTTGAAGAAAATATGTGACTTGGGATGGCTGAATTTCGTTATCAGTAGTAGCTATGGTCGTGTGCGTGAAACCGTAATGTAGATTTATTGTCTTACAGTGGTTGAAACACATCTTAGCAATGAGCACACTTGTAAATCTCTGTTAACTAATGTGTCCCTGACACTATTTATCAAATAGCTCAACTGTTACAAGTATATCTCTGGAGTTTAATTAGTATCCATTCCCGGGCGTAGGCTGGTCATTTGTTAGTTTCTATGGAATCAACGCCCATGCAAGCGAGAGAGAGAGAGGTTTTATCCCAAAACCCATGCAAGTGGGCGAGAATGAGTGAGCAGACTCATCACGTTCACGCCCTCTTTGGTTGAGGACAGAGCCAGCCATTCCTAATTACTCCAAGCAGGAGTCGTTTAAGGGGGCAAGACGGTATCGTCGCCATCATCTTCATCATCATTAAACAGCAAGGCAGTAGCCTGACTAAAATAAATCCTCTCCATACCACTCCAATCAACCAACTTCACGCAATCCCCGAGCAACCAAAGTAGCAAGAGATGCGAATGAATTTTAAATCAGCCCAGAATACGAGTTTAATAGCCACTGTGCCACTTGAGTTCTTTATAGCCCAATGAATCCGCGCTAGAAGAATAATTTATAAGCTAGGCACGAAGGCGCATGGAGACATAGTGGTGAAAAGGAATTGCGCAAGAAGGGCAATGCGAATCTTGCGGTGAATTCAAATTCTCCCACTTACGCCAGCCAATAATTCAAGCCTCCTCTAATTTGCCAAATAAGTGCATGTCTTTTAAGTGGAATTTTAAAGTTTCTTTCCTGTTTGGTGTTTGACGCTTGCTCAGAATGCAAAATTGTACACTTTTGGTTGCGTATCACACAAACAATAATAATAACCACACCTCAGCCAAAATCAATCCAACAGTACTAAATCACTTATCAATCAATCAGACACGATCGATAGAGGAATTATTAATGCCGCATTTTAAGTCCTCTTTTCTTCCAAGTTTATAGTAAATTTAGACAGAAACCGATTGGAAGTGTCCCAGGCATAGACATGCGAATAACTTGGTATTAGGCAAAAAATCAGCACAGCTGAATCAGACACCTTTTTCGCATTTGGTCTGCACGGAAAATTAGGGACTGCTGTGTCTGCTGTTATTGCATGTCTGGAAAACGCGTCCCTTCCTATAAACCTTGTCCCTGTTTGCATAAACACAGGTTCGTGCAGTAATTGCCCGCAGCAATCCCCAAATAATGCATGAAGCGGCCAGCGTTGATCAACCTGAAAGGCACCTGGTTGGTCTGCTGACAGGTGCTCAAGTGAGCGCGGAATTATTAACAATTCTTTGCTGGAAAGTGTTTAACCTAGTCTACGATTTTTTTTTGTTAACCAAAAATCTCATTCAGCCAACTACGTTACTATTGTAAGTTTCGTTTTCATCCCAGTCATGCTTGATATTAGGGTTTCACAAAACTCACCACTATGGTTGCAACCTACCGTCAAAGGAACAGGTGAATAACTGCAATACTACTGTCAAAATGGTGGGAAATAGACAAGATTTGTTAGGTCTTACCATAACTGTTTCCGATATGGCCCTCAGTCGCTGAATATGCTGAGTGCCCGCGCGAGCACGTTCTGATAGAGCTTGCAACACTTGCGATAATTCCGTCTAAAATGGGGCAAAGTTTCATTAAAACAGATCCAAATTTTCGTTTTTAAGGGCTACAGCTTAGACATAAACTCACTATGCGCATTCGATTAGTAGAAAGTAGTAATGGTGTTCTTGAAGTACAATCTGCTCACAAACCACTGCTAATTAATGGGCTTTACTATTTGTAATTAAATCTGAAGCTCAGAATGGGGTTTAAAAGTGTTTTTTTTTTAAAACTCTGATATCTATCTAGAATTTTTCAAAAATGGTTGACACCAGGTCACACCAAGTAAATACACTGAACCACTTTGAATCCCATTCGGGGAAGTCGTGGCTCTACAATTGGTGCATCTTAAAACTGGGTCATTCTGTTTGTTTGAAAATTCGAGACAGGGCAGAGACAATAGCGTTTTCCGTTAACCTGACTGAACTGGGAATATTTAAATTTTGGCCAAAAGACAAATCGTTTTTTTAGCATTAAACATTCCTATCAATGACATCATTTAAAGGAAAAGTTTTTAAAAACAGTCCATGGACAAATCTTCCCTGAACGTGCAAAGGTATTTAACTTAAACACAACCGTCATTTACTAAGGTTTAGTCGACAACATAGTAGTTAGAGTGTGGTATCTTCAATGCACAAGCTTAACTTCCATCTAACAACGAGATTACTAATGCAAATTTGCCACCATGCTTGTGGTTTGAAATCTCGATCTGTGTGGTCGCCGCAATGAAACTAGGTTTTTTGTCTAAAAGCGGTGAGTCAAGCAGGGATATTTGAGCTCTGAAGACAAATATAACTGAAAACAGTTCCCAGGCAGGCGGGAATCAATGTCTGCCTTTGTAACGATGAATTCAAATAACAAAAAAATTACTTCCTGTGTTAACACTTGCTCTTTGCCCCGTAATTCAATTTAAGTGACCAAATATTACATTTGTGATTGCACTTATTTGTCCAGTGGAGCCACAAATTCTGGTTTTGGCCATAGAATTTGAATTTTGGTGCGAAATGTTATTTAATTTAATTCTTCTCGTCTGACCAAAAGCAACACGCAAAAACCACTAACGTCTTTTTAAATCGCCTTCACATAAACCCACGGGCACGCGCATTGTTGACGTCCGATGCCAAATTTGTTAGAATTTTTTTCAGAATTTTTTTTAAAGAGAACTTTTTTTAAATTGTGGAAAAAAGAACAGGAAATGTTGACTGTTCTGTAGGGTCTTTTTGACCAACTCACACTGTGGCTGCTGATTGTCACTGCTAAGGCAACACAGGCAAGTTGTTTGTTTAAGTGATTAAACTGGCCAATCAAGGCGCAATGCAACTTTAGTTTGACGTGAAACACTTGGCTCCCTGTTCTACCCACCCCCAAAAAGGAGTTATTCTGGCACGACTGACGAAAGCAACATTTATTTTCCAAAAATAGGTCGAGCAGAGCCGAAAGCGGTTAACAAGAATTGGCATTCTCGTTCGAAAACGCAGAGAACGGCAGCGGTAGGAATGTGTAGTGGTCAAGTTGAATTTTTAAAGAGCCGTATGTGTGTGTTAGAAGCACATGGGCTAATCTTGTAGAAACACGGCTTCTGGAGAGGAATTAACAATTCAATTTCGCTAAAACAAGTCGGCAAAAAGCAGGTAATTTGAATTCAATTCAAGTGTAAAGAGCGAACCCTCTTAGCTTCACCGTAAGTCACCAAGCTTTTGCTTGGATTCCGAAGTATTTAAAAATTACTAAAAAGACTCGAACGCAGCCAAGAGGAATAAATTGGAGTTTGACAGTACAATGATGGGAACCAATAATATTCCTGTTCGATAGGTTAAGGTCAAAACAGTCTATACAGAAGGATTAGAGTATTCGATTTGTTAAAAATGATCATCTGTACTGGCACTTCCGACACCCTGATTGGTTCTGCCCACAATTTCAGACCCTTCGCGGTAAGTGAGGTAGTGAAGGAAATGATATTCGAGGAATCTTGGTGAGTGAGCCATAAGAAGGCATTAATACCACCCCACGTAAAGACAGGAACAAAAAATGCCTCAAAGGAAACCATTAAATGGACACTTTTATAAAAAAACAACTTTGACGATGACCAGTGTCTGCCAAATGTGGGCAATTTTTTGGTTCATTTTTTGGAAAAGTGCTTACCAATAATCCCCTTTGTGCCAAATTTGTTTCAAATAGAGTCAGTTGGCAAAACTCCCGTGTGCGATGGTACTCCTGGTTAAATGTTTGCATTTATAAATCGACAAACGCAGTATAGCACCACGTTCACATGACTAATACATTGTGAAAACTCAGGCTCGAATGCGTTTCGCTAACTGGCTCAAATCTCGATGGTTTAAAAATTTTGCAGAATACTTACACCGAATCAAAGAGCACAAGTAGTCCTAAATCTGGGTTTCAGTTTGTATTCTATTTGCGTTTTTGTGTCGATTTGTACAAAATCGCAGAGCATGGATAGTTTTTGCGTTACTCCTCAAATCCTATAACATTCTAGACGACTAAAAAGCATAGTGGATGTTTTCAGGAATCTGCCAAGTCGAGCCAGTGGCGTAGCTACAGGTAAATAGCCCTGTTGCGATACAACGGCGTTAACTGCCTAAACGAACTGGGTTAATTCTCTGGAATTTGAACTAGTTTGCCCGTAGACATCGTTCGGACGCAATAGATGTCAAGTACTTGGAAATTAATTAGCTTACCATCTACACCGTTTGACAAGGCAACGTTGCGTGCGTGCAAAAAGGGATCATGCACTTGAGATTGAGACGTAATCTGCAGCCATAAAAGTTACAATTTCCGAAAGTTATTGTTTCTGCTTTCAGGAAGGACCGGGCCTAACTCTCCTCAACACCGCAACACAATTACCCACTATTCTCTAACGTACTTGTGTTTGAGTACATCTCTAACAGGGACTGTGCAAATACGAGTAAATTTGGTATACTTATCTTTCCCTTAGTTTGTACATACATGGAAGCAATTTTTTTGCCTTGAATACTCTCTCCAAATTGCTGACTAGCAGTAACAGTTTGGTCTTCAGTACAAAAACCACAGCAACGATTTGGGCGTAGTTTTGTGCCGGCAAAAATGTTACTGAATTGGGAAATCATATGCGGTAGTCCTAACAAACAGCCATACCTACCAGAGGTTTCCTAGTTAAATGCCTCACAACAAAACAATCCGTGATTGACATTGGTAAAAGCCTACCTCAATTTAAGTAGGTTGGAACTGTCTCAATTAGGCTGTAGCCGTCTTTTTTATTTTGACGGAGGTTGACTAACGGTGTTAGCAGTTAAATATTATCTAGATAAGAGCTATGATAAACTTTGTTAGATTGTTCCAACCTCACTGCTCTGTCAATACCAGACAACTTCAACTATTTGTTTTGTATGCACGACCACTTCGTCCCGTAATGAATTCTGATTGTGAGGTTGGACACAATTATTCCGGCCACGAACACCAGGTGTATCACTGACTCAGAAAAAAAGGCTAATTTGCTTACGGTGATTTGGTCAGTGAGCATTTGGTGATAAGCGGATGACAAAAAACGGTTCTTTAGTCACGTTTTAGCTCTCTCTTCGTATAGAGTTTGGGACGCTGTTAAACACAAAACGCTATGGCTTTAGTTTAATCTACCAGGTGTGACAAAGTTACGGCTGGAACTCATAAGGTATTTCATGTTTCATGATGTACACGAATTAATTAGATTACTCAAACGTTTCTTTGAAACCTGGATTGTACCTAAAATGAGCAGCTAGTAAAACGCGGTTAATTTCCTCGTAAAAAAACATTTTGCCTTCTTGTGCGAATTTCACCGTGTAAGTGCTCAACTTGCTGGCTTGCCTTAATTTGATTTCACAATCTTTGAGAGAAAGCACAGAACGCTACATTTTATGCTCCAAGAACGATGCAAGTGTGTTTGCGTGCGGATACACATGCGTTCGCCACCGGCTACTCTAAAACACAGGCATAGGTCACTGTTTTTTTTGGGTAACGGACTTTAACCCTCTTCGTTCACATGGTTTACATCGCAAGGCCTAGGTTTCAATGAGCCACGGGACAGGGAGGTGTCCTAATTCATGAATTTTCGAAAAAGGGTGGGAAAAATTGGCCTCTCGCGTTTGGAACTAGAAAAGTAACATGCAAGGAGGAAATAGTTTTCACTCGAATGTGTGCATCAATTAGGCAAATCCGATTTAAACAATGCCTGCTTAATTAGTGTTATATACACAGTTGAAATTTGGAGAGCATTACAAATTCCACTCTTACTTTAAAGCCACTTATTTAAGGCGGTAAATTCACAGTTTTTGAAGCAGTGAATGTGCTTCAGTTAGCAAAAAACAATTGGGTAGCAAAAAATAATTTTTTAATTAGTGACTTTAAATAGCTACGCCGCTTTCATGAATGAGCATCAAAAAATTCCGATGTAGAACAGGTTTCTGAGGCCCGTGGAACAAACAGGTTGCGAAAAAGATCAACATTAATTTGCCAAGAACAGGAATTAAATTGTAAGAATACTTATGAAAACATTTTAAGAATTGTTGCACAAGGAAGCAGAGACCAAAGTCTGGCCTCCAAACTTACGCTTCATTTCTGAACCCATCTGCAAAATATTCATTGAAATCAAGTACTAACATTTCGTAAAGTAACACAAATTTCCGAGGTCTAACGATTACATCCACATGTCCAAGTTTTTATACAAGAGTTTGCATGTCCAGACTCCACTCATGCAATGAGTTGGATAACAAATTGTCTGCACGACTACAGCGCTCCTATTGTCTATTGCCATAGCAACGCTTTGTGGCGCGTAGTAACCTCGCTTTATTAAGTAAATAGGCTACCGTCACTGCCAAAAAACTGCTGGTCGAAGACGCGAGCTGGTTCACTGAATAACGCTCAGTCAAAGCTGTATTTGAGGTTAACTAGGTGAACCTACTTACCTACACGTACTAAGGCCTGAAGTTCAAGTGGTCTGGCATTTAATCATGAGTGCCATTGGCGTAACTTGTTAACAGCTAATTGTAGGGGCAAGAATTATCATTGAAGGCAAACTTGCTGCGCAATTTGCTAGTTGGAGTGCTCTGGTGTATCTTAGTAAATTCTTTACAAGTTGAGATGTTTTAAAAGACGATTTCTCTATCTATTATGGTCTAACATTAGTTTGCTAACGTAAATAGGTGAAACGTGATTGGTGAGCATGAGCGATTCATGATATTTGTAAGTTTTAAAGTACCCGTCTCTAAAATTACGGAGACAGCATTCAGCAGCATCATCTAAAGTAAGAATTTTAGTTGTCTGCCCTCCTTGATCGCGAGAAAATTACAAATAATTATGTGTTTTCTATTAATCTAGTTAGGCGTTACCAAAAGGCAGTTGTGAAAATTGTTTGAGATATGTGTTCTGCTGAATTGGAGCCAGCGTTGCCTATCTGTTAGACGTTTAAGGAACTGTTTACACACGAGCCTGAATAACTTGATCATTGAAATCACCTCAAACAGAACCAGTCTTTTACTAGCAGGTAATAGTCTAAACTACTGTCATATTAACAAAGAGAGATCTGACTTGGACGCTAATAGCCATTGGACAAAGAAACAATTAAATTCATATTATAAAGTCTAGTGAACAAATAATGCCTTTTTTCAATGTTATAATATCTGATGAACATTGAATCAAGAGTATTGCTTGCCTTTGAAAAATACGAATTAAAATACTTAGCGATGTACACAGATTGAAATGGAAGGCGGACCACGAATGAAGGCAAAAGTTGCATTGATTTTACTTTTTTGGCATTTTTGATAGAAAAAATTTCAAATTTTGAACATAAAATAACTCATTTAGCAGACTTCCCCATCGATGATGATAGAAAACAGTTTTGGAAATGGTTTCTACCTTGATACGACAAAATGTACTTTGTTAATCTGGAAAATATAACGATATCAGCAATAGAACGGTTTGATGAACGGCCTTGACTGTTTTATTTAATGAATTTCGCGCAAAAATTAACATTTCAACTCACTATCTGTCTGATCATCTTGCTCCATTTTAACGTACAGTTGCCGCCTCAATCAGTATCTACATTGACCAATCTAGCGCATTCAATTTTACAAAAAAATTTGAAGTTTTAGCATCTTAGTAATTGAAACTGATCGCTCTTAAGGAAGTTTCATGTTGATACGTAACCGCAAATATAAAGTTGCTTTTATCGTTGCGGTGAACAATTCATAACTGAGGAATCACTGAGAAGTAATCAAGCATTCGTTTCTGCAATTATCTACTTTTTAACCAGAAATGTTTTTAAAGTAAAAAAGACTAACTGCAAAAATATTAGTAATCACCTCGCAATTTATACAAATTATCTCTTTACATTATGACAGGAAGCATTTAATCAAAAACAATCTTTTTTATGATTACACGTGCACTGGGTAGGTGGTTGGGGTCAATGGAATTGTTTTAATTTTACGGCCGTCCATATTTTTAATTGATTTGTAGCCCATGAAATGTATCAGCGGATGATCAAGCAATCGACAATAGAATCTCTGACCATAAGATTAAAAGGCTATTGAAAATCAAACATGTTGCTAATCGATAACGACGTGCTACCGGTAGATGGTCAAATCTGGCTGCAGCTACTAGCGTAATGGCTTCTAGCATCGACCAAAGTTAATGCACGCAACTGCGAGAATTTAGTGGTAATAAAGGTGATTCAACCTGATGAAATCAATATTGCCCATAGAATAGGATAGTGGCATGTTCGATCCTACAAGTCACGCTCTATATCAATTAGTCCTGAAATTAGTTACGAAAAACTGAGATGCAACTGAGGAACTGTTTCTAGGTTCCAATTTTAAAATCCTAAACTGGAATTAAAAAGTTATAACCACCTTTTAACTAATTTGACAAGGTAAAGACCACGTTTGACGAAGTAGATGGCAATGAACCGGAACATCGGACTCCTGTTAAAGATTTTGCAGTTTCAAGAGAAGTGCTTATCTTCTGCTATGATAAAAAAAATTCGTTCGATATTCATATTTGTATAGAATGTGGAATTCGGCGTGTTCGGCACTCTCATGGTTTGTATTTCTCGCAAGTTTGAGTTTTATGAACACCGCTGGAACGAGTTCAGTAGTTTGAGTACATTGGGCTGGATAAAGACAGCAGCGAATTTCGTTAACTATTGCCCGTGAAATCAGCAAGAATGGCCAGGTTTCACTGTCGATATCGGTGGGACAATTTTGAAAACGTTGGGTCATTGTCTATTGTCTAGGGGTTGTACTATAGCCCAAATAAGCAGAAACGACCAGGTTTCACAGTTGACGAATGAAACCACACAACCCGTCCACCGAGTTTGTGCGCTGTATTGATCATGGCTACAGGTCCAGGCCTGCAAGTTGCGCCCTCTGCCCATTACCAGGCACTAATCGTGTCAGCGGCGACACAGTGACAGCTAGCCGCAGATAGCATCGTGGAGTGGCGCCACGCCTCGCAGCCTGCGCACCCACGTGTGCGTCACAATGTGTGGGAAAACGGGCAACCCGCGTATCGTCGGTTGGGCTGCCGATTTCGAGGTGCACACGAACTGCTTATCGGTGTAATTGTGGTGTTTTTTAAACCAAAGAGCAGGTAAGCGCGTCTACCAACAATCCAATTAACATCAGTCATCGAATAGAAGAGCCTAGTCATGGAAATACGATACGGTGCCAAGATGCTTCTGGTGTTTTTATCAACTCCATTGAAAAATGCTTTGTAGAATATCAAACTATTTGTTTAAGCGCACTGTCCACCACACTCCAGAAGCAGGTTTTTCAAAATTGCCGACTAGGCTACACCAGAGGACATGACTATTCCCATTTTTTGAAAACTTAACGTGGTTTTTTCTAACTCAAAACGATCAGTATTTAAGCTAAGTCCCAGATTAATTAAACAGTGACTTTTGGTTCGCTATTGGTCACAGGAAATGTCGCTGTAAACGTCTTTTTTCAAATTTAAAAAAAACATACCAATGATTGGTTGCTTCTTTGACCACGTGTTTTTGGAAACAGGCAAAATTTCGTCTTAGTATTTAAAGTGTTCTTAAAACGATTATTTCCTTCCAAGACACTAATTGGACATGGCAGATTACAATCTTTGATACATTAAAACCAAAACATTTGACCCAAAATGTCGCAACTGCATTCGCATTCTAAAGTCGAAAATATGGATAAAGGTTGATGTGAGAGATTTTGTTCAAATTCTTCGCACTTGGGTGTAAAAATTAGTCCAAGACTTTCAATGATAACTTGGGATAACTTCAAAGGCAAAATTTAGAACCAATTACTATGCGTATTGTTAGGCATTTATAGGAGATCTATCAAACTGCGTGCCACAACTTCCAAGTGTAATCCTTCTTTCAGCCTAAGTTTGAATTTGCAAAAAAGTGATTTTTCAACCGACAGCTATTTTCTGGATTACCACACATAAGTATCAGATTTCTGTCACAAAAAAACTAACCATGTGACAGGCTAGTGTGGCGAAATTACATGAAGTGCAGACCAATCGGAATGCATCTGGGCGTAGTGGACAGCCATGTTTGTCTTTATTTTAATACTAATGATAATACACGGAAGAAAATGAGGCAGGCAAAATCCTAGTTCATGCCGCATATTTTTCTTTTAAAATCGTCAATCATTAGATCGATTTGAGGACTATGGTACCCAAAAACCATGACAGAAAACGATCCTTTTAGACCGGCAATGAGGTCATCTGAATAGCCAGTTATTTTCCAGAGGCTCCGTGCAATTGAAACCGTTTTTGACGTTTAGCTATTTCGTTTTATCAGATTGTAGGAATTTAACGCTACGTTACATCAAAACAAAGGTCGCTTCATCACTGATTCCCAAGAATTTATAACTTTGTCTATTCCAAACGGTTTGTTACAATCCTAATGAATAGGTTGAATAGTTATTTAAATTCACAAAGAAAGCTTGTAATATGATTCAGTGTCAGTTTGTAGAAAAATTTATTCTCTTTTCTCAAATTTTGCAGCAAAAACCCAGCACCGCATTTATCTAACCACACACTATAGGAACTGGTCAACCCGAAAATAGCACTGATTCTACCGTGAAAAATGCCATAAAAGAGCCATGACTGCAAAAAATGTCTGATTTGTGACCTCTCTTCAGAAGAAGGCAGACAATAAGCACGCTAAAACCCAATATTTGTACAGTTTGTTTATGTCCCATTACCCCATGTCCATGCGTTTTCTGCACCTCGGATAATATTTTGTGATAGGAACACAGCTGACGCCTTATTTGTTTGCAAAACGTTGCAGTATCAGCACAGCACTTAGTAACAAGCAAATATGCTATCGGAGGTCGTAAGCTGATCAAGAAAGAAGACCTGAAGCCTCAACAGTTTTCAAGATAAAATTAATTAACCCAACTTAGTTATCAGCCAGTTTTACTAATGTAAATGCAAGACAGGAAAAATTCTATATGATTGAAAAGATGGTAATTTTTATACGTCGCACTTGTTCCAGTTGATTTGGGAAAGAGAAATTATACACGACTTGAGAAATTTTCCTTGATCCAAATTAATTAAAGTCAAGTTTGGAGTTGATTGTGACATAAGTAAAACATGCAGCATTCACAGGGCACTGTTTAAAATCACTAACAATGCCAAATGTACAGAAATACACTCAAAATATGCTTACTTGGTGAATTTACATATTGTTTCAATTCAATATGTGATCAGGTACAACGGAATTTAATTGCGGATAAGAAGCGAATTCTACTAATCGTACCTTATTAAATATTGACATCTTTGAAACAAACTTTGCTAACGAATGTGAAATGCATGAACAAACATCCTACAATGTTACTTGTTTTAAACCCATGGTTTTGACATCATGCTATCGTGTTTTTGGCCGGTAACTAGGTAGCAAAGCAATGATAATTGCACAAAAAATAAGCATCTTATTTACCTTCTTGTTTTTACAGTACGCCTGAAGAATCTGCACTTCCTGCCGTGCGTGTTGTCCGTGCCTGTTGGGTGTCAGGGTGCAAGTGGTCTGATTCACGTCACTTATCACACAGTCATTACAGATGGCCACTTTGCAGGCATTGCAGAACAGGCTGGCTTCTTCGTGTGGATGCTCGGGACACACAGGCGGCTGACTTTGCCTCTTTTGTCGAACAATTTCCGCGCCCTTGGCCGCCGGATGCAGACCGTGCTTGAGCAGGGGTCCGCGTTTAGGGTGACAGCGTTCGCGACACTCCTCGCAGTAAAAAATACCGCATTGTTCACACCAGACGCTGGCTGGGGTTCCACCCTGTGGGCCAGTCTCGCTGATTCTCGCTCCACCGATCGATAAAGGATCCATGTTTAAGGGGTCGGGTTCATCACAGAGCTGGCAGATTGGGATACACGTCCTGGAGGGGTTATCTTGCTGCAGAGCGCCTGTTACAGCCTCCTCTCCCACTAATTTGGCTATTACGCGTTCTAATGCACGATTTCTTGGCAACTGATTAATGCCTTTTTCATCCAGCAGTGCAACAATTCGATGGCAAGTGGGGCAGAATAGTCCGTGCGTTAGACTTTGAATCGCCTGTGGAGGGACACTCGTTGGTTGAGTAACTTGGCTAAATCCTAGCACGCTGGGGCAAATGATAGTTGGCGGGCGTCCTGCGTAAATCCCCGCCCTACTTGTCACAACTACCCCAGAATCGGCTTCACTGACGATGCTCTGTTGATCTGAGTCAGTTCCGCCGTGACTAGCCCCACTGACTGTGGAACTGCTGCCTTCCAGATTGGGTTCATTGTGAACTATGGCTTCGAAAGCTGTTGAGGGACGTTTATGCGAGTTGGCAGAGGCCTCGGTCGCAGATAAAATCGCCTGAATAGCGACTGAAACTGTCGCATCTGAGGTTGGATGCAGTGCGGAAACCGCGCATGACGTGCACAACGAGTGGCCACAGGGGAGAAGGACAGGACTGAGGAAATAGCGGGAACATGTGGGGCACCTCAGCTCAGGGTCCATCTTGGCCAGGCCTGTTTGTGACCGCGTGGACACCGTGGAGACGGTGGAACACCTGTTTGGACTTGCCGTGGTGGGGGCGGCGGATATGGTAGCCTTGGCGGTTGTTGCCATAGCAGAGTTAGCCCATTTGACGGTTGAGCTGTCGGGGGTGTATTGGCCTCAAAACAACAATGCCTGTATGAGCGTACCGTCCGTACAAACGTGTTGCAGTGGACGTCTGGAATGGTGGCGAACACGCGCATCCCCGCCTGTCCGCAAGCCTCGCGTGCGCGCGTGTGCGACCCGCGACAGCTGGCTGCCATTTAATTGGCTGTGACGGCGTAAGTCGAGAGACATTATCCCGCTGGCTTGAATAGCATACTAAATGGCTTTGTTGAACGATTTTACCAGACTCACGTGATGTGGACCCCAGGGTTTCGTATTGTCTAAAGCAGGAAATTTCAAGATTGAAAAAATACGCTCCAAGAGTTTAACTACAACCAGTGTCCACAGTGAAGCTGATGAGGTGGGGTGTTCTCAGGGGCCGTTGAAACGCACAGAATATTCTTCTACATCCACTTAATTTTTACAAATGACACCTGCCTATAAACTGCTATAGTTACTCACCCAGAAACGCAAAACGCACAAACAATCGTGTGCATAAATTTTAATCGCGGTACACGATTCGAATGCCCTGGGGAAACACAAACCCGACGCTAAAGCCTACTTAGGCTGTAAGGTTTTCCTGGTCAAATGTCTTTTTTTGCCGTACAAGGAAACGTATTTGCGTCAGTGTTAAGTGTGGTTGTGGATGCTAACTGACACGGATTTGAATTGTCATTTTTCGCCCAGAAAACCTCATAACTCTCAGATTACCTACTCAACTAGTGAAATGAACAAAGCCCTTCGTATTTTACATTCATGAAATGGGTTATTTAATCTTAAAAAGCTCTATTCCGAATTTTGCGGAACTCGCATCTGTGGTTGGACTACTTAGAATTTATTTCGCTCTGTATTTTGAAAATAACTAATCTACTCAAAAGCCTGAGTAGCAACGGCGAAGGCATGCCGAGTGTTAAGGACCATCCACACAAAACTTGCATTCTTGGTTCACTGCTAGACGCCACTAGCTGTGGTAGCTCGGCTCGTCTTACTCTGGAGGCATTGCATGATTAACATCTGGTCCGACGGGACTAACGAAATTAATCTGCATGCGTACAAGCGCCATTTAACGTCGAGTCTTGGACAGTCATTGCTATTCGGAATACAAAGAACGCTGCTGTAAGCCATACTTCTTAACATGTTAAGGAACTGCTGGTGCCCTGTGCTTCATTGTGCCATGGGATTTCACAATTTGAGCGTGATAGCCTAAATACGTATACTTGTGGATTAATCGGTAGTAATAAAGTACTAATACAGTATCTCTCATGAAGGGTCATACACCAAATTGTAGCAAAATTTGTTTCCTTCAGTTACTTTATCGTTGATGGTGTTAGAAATTTTACGGCAATGGCTAAACATAACTCGGATCTAAAATTGGTACCTGAAGTAAATTTCACGAATTCTGCATCTTTGGAGAGGATTGATCAAATTTAGTAGATTGTCCGTCGAATGAGCGTCTAAATATTAATTCAATTAAGAAGTTCTAAATTACAAAACTGAGCAATATTTTACTTTATCTGGCAGTTTTTTTAATTCCTCGGATTGATGAATGGTAGAGTCCTTTGTAAAGTTACAAACTCGTTTAAAATTCTGAATTTTAACGCGAAAACTATAAATAAAAACAGCGAAATTAAAAGTGCTGAATCTTTAATACATGTTTCGAAAATCGATAATTTTCAGTTAATCGTTAATGAAGTGAACTGCATTTCATTAAACATGTACTGCTTAATTGTTCTAGCCAAACTTTTTTCATTTGAATGATCAGCAAATGTCCCTTCTCAACTTTTTAAGGAGAATTTGATTTTTTCATCAATCGGTACAATAAAATAATCTGAAAATTTGTCTCTTCATTTAAACTTAAATAAAATAATCAGACAAAATTTAGGGCCAAGTTGTGATCAGTTGAATCCACATATGCATTAAAGTGAACACAGGCAAAGTAGTGTGCTCAAATTTGGTAAAAATTTGGCCCAGTTAAGGTCGATTTTTAAAGTTAAATCGCAAATCCATCTGCACTCATTCCCGATTTTATTGCATAATTAAATTGTGCATACAAATTAGTTGTAAGGATTACTGGCCAAATTACTAAATGAAAACTCGTTAGCCAACGGTAGTCATCCATTTCAAACGGATTTAAAGCAAGTCGTTTTGGACAATCGTAACCAATGAAACCACTAAGCGCATAGGTTATAATCGATGGCAAGATCGATAATCAAGCAGTCCACTTGGTAAAATAATGTACGCCACTGACACACTTTTTTTTAAATTTCACCATACATAGAATTTAGTTTTGTGGATTAAAACAGTTAAATCGAAGACAATTGTGCTGCAGAATCTTCTTAAAATAATAAAACAATTTTCTTTAACTTTCAAAAAAATAAATCTAGTTAGATGTGAATAGGAAATCAAGCGAATTTCAACTTATTTAAGCATCGATTGGGTAATGTAATTATGACTGCTGCGGATAGCTGAAATCTTTGTTTAAACTTTGCTTACACCAAACGGAATCATCTCATAGCAACCTATCAGTAGAACGTAGCGGTGGCCATGGTAACTTGCACTGTAGTCATACGGTCATTAACTGCACCGGCTCCATTCGTTTAACCGAAATGCACATTTCATGTACTGCTTGTCATCGCATACACGCTGGTGGGTGCGTACTTATAATTCTTGGCATTGGCATTCTATCAAAAACATTGAATTAACAGTCTAATTGCTTAATCATTCAAGAGGCAATTTTTGCATTTGGGCGGTAATTTCACTCTCTTTTCCACGGAAAGCTGCATGCATAAATCAATAGTGGTATCAAGAAATGATTGGGGTAAGAAGAAGAAAATGGCCGTCATTTTGGTTTCGGACGATATTTCTGTGGGGTGTGGCGAAGTGATCAGGATTTAACACACAAAGTTAGCTTCGTAAATTATTTGCAGTTGAAAATGCTATGTTCTTGGCATTATTAGGTCGGATCGCTATTTGTTAACACCGAGGTTTAAGGTCGTAGCGAGGACAAGGGTGGCACGGTAGTACTGATACAAAGGTGCTTTGCAACAATCGTAAATAATCAAAGACCATTTGTTGGCACATCAGCAACTTCTTCCATTTGACCACCTGTAGCGGTTTCGCTCGCATTACCTTATAATCCTGCTAATTAACTATCCGTAACACCCCGAGATGAGGGGCAAGATAAAAGAGAGCGGAAATGACTGTTTTTTTTGTCTTAGGCCACGCAAGTCTTTTTATAGATGACTGCGTTAGTGAATACCAATCATCAACTGTAATCGAAAATCGATGGCATTCGATAAACTCGTAAATTAGGTTCACTTGCACTCTTTTAATGAATGTTCTCTACACAATAAAGCAAAACACGGATGAGTCCTCGAGATGCTCAGTCCAACCGAACAGCAAAGATTTTGACGTGACGAAATATTGAAATGATTGGGCAATTCTTAGGCAGCGAAAGGGGTTTCATAAATGTAAGAGCGTCCAAGTATTAAACTTTGCTAAATACTGCCTGAAGTAGGTTTGGACATCATGGCCATGTCAGTTAAATAGCCTCAGTTCAATCGTTTTTTAATCTGCTGCGATTTTATCAAATTGACGTGTACGATTGCTGAGAAATAATTAAGGACCAGAATGTTGACATGCATCTGCAATTTAACAGGTTTTATGAACAAAGAACATCAAAATAATAAGGGTTTATTGTTTAACTTTAGCAAAGAAATCAGTATTCTTTAGGATTTCAAAAAAAAATTAAGGTGAATTTTACCTGTTTGGCGTTCAATGAGGCCTCAAATTTTATTTTTACACAATTGATGTGGAATTTCAGTTGATCTGACAGATTGTCCCGCGAAATTGGATCGTTCAGTCAACAGAGTGTCCAGTCTCAGGTGAAAATTTTGAGGCTAAGAGCCGTGTTCAAACCAACCGGAATCACGACGAAAATCAGGTTAACCAAATGGAGCAAAACCACCAAATATCGCTTTTTTTTCAAAATCGATTGAAATGCCATCTTAACCGAGGAAACTAATTCTCAGAGCCAAGTCAAAATTATGCTAATAATCAACACCTTGCAACAGTTAAAGCTGATGGACCAGAACCAGGCTTATTGTCACTCTGTGACTAATAGCAAGCTACTTACAGGCCCTAACACAGCTCATAAACGCAACTGACTTTTGATAGACGGTTTAGTAGTGCTCGTGCCTACAGACGAGGATCCCATAAGGCTTGTCCATTATCACAACTGCGGTCATTGGTTCACCACAAATTAGACATCCACTTGATTATAACAAAGACACGAATATCAAGCGAATGAGCGAGCTGATTGTAGCGTGTTTTCCTAAGGTATTCCACTGGCTATGCACTGGTGTTATCATTTACTCCCGGTGAGACTAGCGACCTCGTAGAACCTCTAAGATTCCATTTGGAGGGAAAAAATATTTTTTTCGACATGTTAAAGGCAGCCTTGCTCATCATAAGTGATACCTTTATTGACGAAAAAACATACAGGAAAATAAGGGTTTTTGCTTTTTGAGTCAGGAACCTGACACACCGGCGTCTAAATGACCACTTCACACTTGTATTTCGATGAATTATCAAACTTCTTTCAGTTTAATTCATGTATTTTAACTTTGGCACCGTTTATTGACGCAATGCAAGTAGAAAAAATCTTTTCCAGCCACCTGAGGCATGCGATTAATCTCAACATTTTTGTATTTTGAAATAGTTGAGGATGTAGGTCCGCTTACTCCCTCTGTGGATGTTTTTGCCATATTGGTGTGCGGATGGAATATGCCCAGAAATAGCTTCATAACCCGCTTGTTCGTCCTTTTATATAGGTGAATTTTTTTCGTCATGCGCCGAAATCTCTACTTCTACTTCAAACGTATTAACATCCGTGATTTCACCAATGTTGGTCAAATCATTTAGTACAGAACCTTGTTCCAAAGTACACTGGACTACCATAGGCAGGT